CTACATACATGGATTTTGTAACAAGTTTCATAGAGAACTAGCTACAACCAAAAAACTTGTAGCATTATTTGTAGTAAACAAGCTACGGATTTTAATTCCATAGCAACTATTCAAGATTTAGCTACGGAATGCAATTCCGTAGCCATTTCTGTATCAAATTAGTTACAACCAACCATTTTGTAACTTATTCCGTATTAAAATAACTATGAATTTAGATTCCGTAACAACTTTACGTAGCTATTTAAGATTTAGCTACATAATGCAATTCTGTAACCATTTATGTAGCGAAATAGCTACGACAAGTCGTTCTGTAGCATATTCCGTAGTAAAATAGCAACGGATTTTGATTCCATAGTAACTTTCCGTAGCTATTTAGGATTTTTCTTGTAGTGATAGTTGAATCCTGATTGATGAACACTGCACGAGATGACTGATGTCCTTCAAGGTTTTTATGTTGTTCAATGGCGGTAAGTTTTAACATAAAATCGTAGGATTTAATGAAAATGATGGTTCTTTCCAACATCTATAGAAAAACCAATAAACATAAAACAAATACTCTGGACCTTAATGAATGTAGTGGCATTGAGAAAGAAGAGAGAGCAAAGTAAATTATTGATTTTGGGAGTGTGGACTAGTAAGAGAGCTATATTTTTAATCCCATAAACTCTAAAAGGATGCCAAAAAGGCATATTGTAATGGTGACAACCCCCTATCATGGCTCTTCATGTGTCACACATTTTTGCTAGGGAAAAACCCTAGGTGCGACGCGTTTCTCTCCAAGAAATACGTTTTCTGAATGACTAGAAGCATCTATGAGTTTATCCATAAAATCAACATGTGGTTAACATGCTGTCCGGGTTGGTCCAACTTGATATGACCCAAACCCTGCTAAAATTAAAAGCTTGTTAGTCAAACCGATTGATGTCACGGTCAAAGTGCAAAGTGCGCCCAAATCGCCATATTTTGCATACCTCGCGTCTTACCTCCTCGGCACTATGCGCTTGGCACATCCCCTTACTAAATCATGTAAATATTTAAGATAAGAAAATTCTTATAAACACTCTTAATGTTCTTCCCCACCTATACGGGAGAAAATAAACTAGCCCACTTGCTAGTTCCTTCATAATCCCCCCCCCCCCTCATGAAGTTTGAAAGTTTCTTTTCACTCATATATATAAGGTTACATAGATGTCATGAAGATTAAACCTTTGTTTAATGTAGACAGACAAAAAGAGATATCATATAGATTTAAACCAAGAACCTTATGGTCTCTCTGTTTCATCCATAAACATCACCTCTTATCTTTTGCATTCGCACTAAGTGTGGTGACACCGTCTCTAAATCATACAAGCACATTTTTATAACATCTTATTTGTTATATGTCACTAAAATTTATTAAGAATTTTAACTCAACCTTGTTCTCAACAATGACATACTATCATACCTCACATAGATATATTGTTATTGATAGTACATTCTATTGTTACCGAGTTCATTATTAACCTTTAAACATGAGAATTAGGCGCACTAATTTCAAGTTGGGTTTCCATTACTAATCATTCTGTTATTATTTTAGACCAATGAATCTCGTGGTGTTTGTAACTAAATATTTTGTCAAAGCATTGGTAAGTGGATCTTCCAATTTCCTACTTGTCTTGACATAAGCAACTTTGGATAACACCATATTCAGTTAGATGTCACATAACTATCTCAAAGACCAACATGTCTTGACTTTTTGTTTTGCATAACATTGTATACTTTAGACAACGTGGTCTGATTGTCGCTATATGTGGAAATAGATGCCATAAAATACCCTACAGTTGGATATCCAAAAGTAGATAGCTAATATATTGTTTTTAATTTCATTTTCTACTAAGGCAATAAGCTTGGCCTCTATCGTCGAGTGAGCTATACATTTTTTTTGCATGCCCAATAAAAAGCTCGTCCATCTAGAGTATCATTCCAACCACTCAAATGATTTCCAATTATTGGTGTGATCTATTTAACTAGAATCATAATATCATTCTTGGATTTTCGTAGATGTCATGTATATCAACTCAAGAGTGTGTGTCCTTTCAGCTACCCTAGAATGCATCCTACTGCCTTCTAGTGCTCTATTCTTGGATTGACAATATACTGATTATGTTTTCTTATATTGAATTTAGTTTCAGTTAACTACAATGCATGATATATCATGTGATCAATTGCACTGGCATATTCTAGTTGAGAAACTGCTTAACCAAAGTTCACATTATGTTTTAGACACTTGAATCAAAATGAGTGTTGACTTCCTTAGTATTTAATTTTTGAAACTTCATTATAATTTTCTTTACATAATGAAATCCACTCAGAGAAGTATCACTACATGTCACTTTCACCTGAAAACCAAGAATTGTATATATTTCTCGTAGATCTTTCATCTTATAGTTCAAGGATAAGTATTTATTCATCTAAATTACTTCTTATGGGTGAGTTTCAGTGATCAACATATAGATAAATGATAATTATGTATGTGGTTGTGTATTTGGAATATATACACTTGTCAACACGATTATGGAAAAACCTAATGTAGTTACATTGATGTCAAATCCCTTTGCCACTCTTAGGAGTTTGCTGCAAACTGTATGACATTTTAATAACTCGACACACTTTTTTATTGTGCGGTCATGAAAAACGATTTTGGTTACTCTAAATAATTCTCCTCATTAAAAAACAAAGACAAAAAAACATAAAACCAACATAAAGATTGTTAAATCTTGACTACTAAAAGCTGTAAAAAATTACTCATGTCCTTAAAGATTTTAATGTCGATAAACGCAAAGTAAATATTCTAAAACTTGAAAAATAAATAGACATAAAGAGAGTAAATAAGGAAGAGAATAAATAATAAATCCAAATATTATTAACTACTTACCATATTATAGAAATCAAATTGATCCTTTGTGATCATGTATGAATATAAGAAATGTAGAAAGAGATTGTCATATTGTCAACCGAATTAAAATAAACAACATAAAACAAAACATGAAGATCGTTAAATATTAACACTGAAATCATGTCCTTAAATGTTTTTAAGTTGCTTAATGGTAGAATCGACAATTCCTAGAGGCAAAGAATGGCCCTTACTCTGTCTCATACACTATATTACCACCCGCCGTACCAAACAACATCTACCCACACGGTCAGGAGATAGGGAGGATCCAATAGAAGTACGAAATTTTGATTGTTCAAAGAATAAGATAGGTTCTATTAAGTATGGGTCGTATAGATGACCAAGAAGACTTTGAAGAAGAAGCAAACATTAACTCTCCCCAACAGAAACCCTCCCCAAGATACCATGGCCATCATTAACGCAACAAAAATATTCGAAAACTTGAATAATCTAGAGGGTCAGAGAAATAAGAGATAAGAGAAACCAGAGGAGATTCTTGATTTTTAGGTGTAGAATCCGACTCAAGGGAGATGTGTTTATAGTTGTAGAAACCGGTTTCCAGAAAATGTGGATTATGACGACGACAACCCTAAGATAGCTCGTCATGTGTCACACGTTCTAGATATAGGAGAAACCCTAGTTGCGACACCTGGCTCTCTAAGCAACTTATCTATCTGATTCGAGAAGCTTTTATAAGTTGCTTAGAGAGCAATATATTGCATGGGCCGGGGAATTTTCAGATACATAACACTTTAATCATTGAAAAAAATACATTGCATGGGTCGGGAATTTTTAATGTCTCACATCCTCGGCCAAGCTTGCTTGACACACGTATGGGCTTTTCCATCCCTTAATATCCATTAATTCCTTTGAAGATGAGAAAATCCTTATAAACTCTCTTAATGTTCTTCCCCATCTATACCAGACAAAGGAAATTAGCATACGTTCTAGTTCCTTATTAATTTTTGATAAATTTTTTATTTTAGTCGATTAGTTTCCCAACCTTACTTCACCAGACATCCCTTTAATCCTTGAAAAATTCCCGGCCCATGCAATGTAATTTTCTTTTTCTCGAATCCTATATAAGCCTACAGAAAGATATTATTCAATCGTGAATGAAACGATCATTTCACTTAGGAAAATCAGCCTCTTAGTCCACTTCTCTCTAAGCTTATTATAAACCAAAAACCATGTCCAAAGTCTAGATCAAAAAATAGCCTACATAATCAATTACTTTAGCCTTAATTAATGTCTTCGCATTGATCAACCTTTTCTTAAACAACTTTTTATACATACTAATCATTTTTTTAAGGTCTTATTCCAATCTCTTTATTGATTTAATTAAAACCAAATATCATCCACTTTAATTGTGTTTTATTAATCCATGAAAAACAATCGATTATTCCATGACTACGGTCTACGGTAACATACGACCTTTCACTTTTGGCTTGTGACATCCGATTTTCACCTTAGCATCTGTAGATGCAAGACCCATGGCGTGAATCTTATTACACCTCCATAATAACATTCTCAAATAAGTACTAGATAAAAGAATCAAGTGGTTGTATTTTGGTCAAAGTGGTTTTTCCAATTTTGAGTTTTCCATTATTCTTTATTTTTCTTATCTCTAACATGTTATCTTATCTGGCTGGAATAACAGCCCAATGTCCACAATAAACCCAATCCATGCATACCGGAATCCGTACTCAAACTCTACGGCTGGTGATTCTTAAACCCTTCACTATTTCTACAAGTATACCATCCCAGATCAATGCCGGAACCAACCCTGTGCCACTGAATCAAGATTTTAATCCATCTAATATTGAAACCATTTGATAAGAAAATAAAACTTATTTAGGATTAAACATATTTAAGAAGTCTCTTCACTTTAAGCAAGAGTTAATGTACAAATTTTCAACTGATGGAAATTTTGGAATGTTCCCAATAGGTGGGTGAGAAAGCAGATAATCCTGCATGGAAAGCCATCGGCTACCACATAGACATCACCGAAGAACATCCCAAAGAGGACCACAACGAGCGCCCTTTACAGAAAGGAATGGTGGAAATCATGAAAGAAAACGATCAAACTCTTGTACATTCTCTTCTTCAAAAAGGCCTGGATGTAACCGAAGAATTCAAAGAAAACATTTGCAAAATCAAATGCGATGTTGTAATAGTCGGCTCTGGTTGTGGTGGTGGTGTTGCAGCTGCCATTCTCGCAAAATCCGGCAAGAAAGTTGTGGTTCTTGAAAAAGGAAACTACTTTACTCAAAAAGATTATTCAAAACTCGAAGGACCTTCACTGGATCAACTCTATGAATCTGGAGGAATACTTCCTACCCTTGATGGTAAAATAATGATTCAAGCAGGAGCCACAGTAGGTGGTGGCTCAGCAGTCAACTGGTCAGCTTGCATTAGAACACCACAACCTGTGCTTCAAGAATGGGCAGAAGAAGAAAATATGAAGTTATACGAAAGCCATGAGTATATGTCTGCAATGAACAAAGTGTGTGAAAGAATCGGTGTTACTAAAAAATGCACAAGAGAAGGGTTCCAGAATCAGGTTCTTCGTAAAGGGTGTCAGAATCTTGGTCTAAAAGTTGAAGCTGTCCCACAAAACACATCAAAGAATCATTACTGTGGTTCTTGTTGTTATGGTTGCAGATCAGGGGATAAAAAGGGAACCGATTCCACATGGTTGGTTGACGCAGTTGATCATGGGGCTGTGATCATAACCGGATGTAAAGCAAAGAAATTTATCTTAACAAGAAACAAAGGAAAGAAAAAAAGAAAGAAGTGTGTAGGAGTAATTGCTCAAGCTTTAAACCAAGAAATCTCTAAAAGATTACACATCGAAGCAAAAGTCACAATTTCTGCATGTGGGTCTCTTTTAACACCATCTTTAATGATATCCAGCGGTCTCAAAAACCCTAACATTGGCCGGAATCTTCACATGCATCCCGTTGCAATGGCATGGGGATACTTTCCAGAAAGTGATGACTCGGATCTTACTGGCAAAAACCAGGAGGGGGGGATATTGACATCTGTTCATAATCCAGGGTCAGATGAGACGTACATCTTGGAAGTCCCAGCACTAGGGCCTGGATCTTTTGCTGCTTTATGTCCTTGGATTTCTGGGAAAGACTTAAAGGAAAGAATGCTGAAATTCTCACGAACAGCTCATGTGTTTTCATTGGTGAGAGACCGTGGATCTGGAAAAGTGACATCAGCAGGAAGGATAAGTTATAAATTTAGCAAATTTGACAATGCAAGCATAAAGAAAGGCCTGAGACAGGCGTTAAGGGTGTTGATTGCAGCAGGGGCTGTTGAAGTGGGTACTCAAAGAAGCGATGGACAGAGATTGAAATGCAAAGGGACAAGTAAAGAGGAGATCGAGGAGTTCTTGGAGACAGTAGATGCTGTACCTGGTCCGATGTCAATGGTGAAAGATTGGAATATTTATTGTTCGGCTCATCAAATGGGGAGTTGCAGAATGGGGAAAACCGAGAAGGAAGGTGCAGTGGATGAGAATGGGGAGAGCTGGGAAGCAGAGGGACTTTACGTTTGTGATGGGAGTATTCTACCGAGTGCTGTTGGTGTCAATCCCATGATCACAATTCAGTCGACTGCTTATTGCCTTGCAGAAAGAATTGCAGACATTTTCAGATGAAAAGATGTATGTAAGATTTGAAGTTAATTAATAATGGAAGTGTACTATAGTATACTGTCAACTGCATTATAGAGTATACTGTCAACTAAATGGTTTGTGAAGTTGATGTACTAGCTTGTGTAAACATGTTATACTGAATAAAAAGGTCTTCCATTGTTGTGGTTGGTGAAACACGAGCATGAAATTACCTAACTGTGATTGGTGGAAACCAACACAAATTTTGCCATTTTGGGGAAGTACTACTGATCAACCTGATGGTGTTAATGAAGTTGAGTTAGATGAAGGGCTTATAGCTTTTTAAGTTTTTTTAAGACACTTTTTGTCTATTTATCATCTTCTTGACATTCAACAAAGCAGAACTTCAAACGGCATATACTAGTTAAAAAATGAATAAAAAATCAAAACTAATCTTAAGATGTCAGAAAGAAAAGGAAAAGAAACTGATCTTCAAATGTTTGTTATAACCCTCAAATTAGAAGATGGGTTTTTGTATAAATATTGTAACAGCAAACACTCACTATTGACTTGAACTTGGTAGATGTTGGCCGGTGGTAAGTTCCTTTGGGGGCAAAGTAAGATAGGGATGACTTTTGGAAATCCTTAATGGTTAAGATAAATAAAGTCAATGTGGAGATTGTTAATGTATTCCTTGGAATTTGGTGACAAAATAAATAACCTCACTTATGACCTAAAACACGGTGAAGAAATTAAAATGTGAACGACAATTTTGAAAAGATAACCTCACTCTGACGTTGTTCGCATTGACTCCGAGGATCGCAACTGGTCATAAGGAGTTCCAAGGCGTTCTGACAGTTCGAAACCAGTTGCAACGCATCACTGTCAATCGCACTCTGAAATGGTTCACATCCTCATTCGCACCCAAAAACTCTAGGCTGTCAATCGGGGCCTCGCACAATCTCCGCCTCAGAGTCTCGAAGGCCAACTGTTGATCCGGACCCCACCAAAATGTCACATTCTTCTTGGTCAGGCGGGTCAGAGGCACTGGAATCTTGGAGAAGTCCTAAATAAGTCTCTAATAATACCCCACAAGAACCAAGAAACTCCAAATCTCAGATGAGCTTTTCGGAACCTCCCAATGCATCACAACCTCGATCTTGGTCGGGTCCACCAAGATACCCCCCTGGTTAATGATGTGCCCCAAAATTTGCACCTCACGCAACCAAAATGCACATTTGGAGAATTTGGCATAAATCCTCTCCATTCTCAAGGTCTCCAACACCTCGTGCAAATGCGGCTCCTTGGCCTTAGTGTAGACCAGAATATCATCAATGAAAACAATCACAGACCGATCCGGCATCGACCTGCAAACCCGGTTAATGAGATCCATGAACGTTTTTGGTGCATTGGTAAGCCTGAAAGGCATCACCACAAACTCGTAATGACCATAACGATTTCTAAAGGCTATCTTTTGTACATCCTCATCTGATGGTATCCTAACCGAAGATCAATCTTGGAGAACCAAGATGCACCCTGAACATAATCAAATAAATTGTCGATCCTCGGAAGTGGGTAACGGTTCTTCACTGTTAACTTGTTTAATTCCTAATAATCGATACACATCATGTGTGACCCTTCCTTCTTTTTCACGAACAAGATCGATGCTCCCCACGGAGAACTGCTTGGACGGATAAAACCCATGTCCAGCTCCTGCAGCTGCGTAGACAACTCCTGCATCTTAGGCTGAAACACCACGGTGTTCAGGTACTTTTAAGTTCATCCTTATTATTTAATTCGTGTCATTTGGTCCCTCTAGTGGAAGTAAGTAGCCATGAGAAGCCCTAATGGCAAAACCATACTTCGTAATGTATGGTAGTACGCCATGCGTACGTGTGTACGCTAAGCGTACTAGGGCGCACCCTAGTACGCTGGGCGTACATCCATGTATGCAGGGCGTACTCATCATATATTGAAAACCCTAATTTTTAGGGTTGAGCCCTATATAATCCCCCTTATAACCTCATTTCCCTCACCCTTTCAGCTTCCACCCTCCTTGAGTCGATTTTGCAAGCCCTAGCCCTTGTGTGTATGTATGTGTTCTTGGTGTTGAAGAAAGAAGGAAGGATTCTTTGAGAAGCTTTGGTGTGGGATTCGATCTTGTAGATCTGAGATCTTCATCTCTTTGGGAAGCTCCAGAAGGTATAAAGCCTTGAATTTTACTTGTATTTCTTAGAGATCTAGCCATATGGAGTTTTATGAGTTTTGTCCCTTTTATTGGACTTAATGAGTAAATGCTACTCTAAGACCAAAGGAGATACCTTTTCAGAAGATTTGAGTTGTGTTAATTCATAAAAATGTTTTATTCACTAACTTAATGCTTGCATACAAAGTGTAGAGGTCTTTAGTGGTTAAGACCAACTAAGAAGTTGGTTTTGGGTCTTAATGATGCATGCATAACCATAAAGTTGGAAACTTTATGCTTAAGAGCACCTTATTAGACTTGGATCTAGTTATTGGATGTTTGGACTGAATAGATTAAGCCCTTATTCGAAGATTTGCATGGCCACCACGTACGCTGAGTGTACCAGGGCGTACGATGGGTGTAGGTGGTCAACAACGCGTTTCTTGGTTAAGGCAGAGTACACTAAGTGTATAGCTGGGTACGCCCCGCTTACTCAGTCTGTTGGGTTTAGCAAGTTTGGGGTTCAAGTTTGGGCCACCTTTTGGGTTAGATGGGTGGGCCCTTATTGGACCATCTGAGTATTGGTGTTTTGGGCTAAGTGAAGTGATGGAATTTAAGGTAAGGCCCAAGTAGGAGTTTGGTACCAATTTGGAAAATTAGGCCAATTATGGGCCTTAAGTGATTACCTAGTTTTGGGCCTTTTGGATCAAGATTAGGCCTGGGTCTTAGCCAAACTAGGAAAGGGTAAACTGGCATTTTACCCTAATGATAGACTATTAGCCTAGGTTGTAATCCAATTATTAATTGGATGATTATTTTGTTGTGATAGTGCGGGGATTTTAGTGTGCCAGCAGCCGAAGACTTTCAGTATGATTCAGTAGTGTGAGGTGAGTTTTCCTCACTGTAGTTACAAGTCGAAGGCACAAAGGCCGGCCCATTGGTTGATAACCTGATATTTGTTGATTTGCTAAGTATGTAATAGATATGCATGCTTGTTTTTATATGCTAGTCTGGTAGATATGTAGGACTACATGTGATACTGTCTGATTATCTGTGTATGTTATTATCTGTTATATATCGACATATTGTGTGGGTTGGGTTGAGGTTGTACTGCTCCGTGCGGTAGCCAACAAACCCTGGAGCAAGCCAGATATGAGGTGAGGGCTGGGGAGGACATGCCAGACTCATACTGAGGGATCGTGTGCATTCCAGATATGAGTTGAGGGTCGGCAATGGCATGCCAGACTCGTACTGAGGACTTAGTGGTATTCAGTTTGAGGACTGATTTGGCCGCGGAGCAAGCCAGACATAAGCTGTGGGCCGAGGGCAAGCCAGACTTATGATGTGGGCTCAGGGGTAATCCAGTATGTCAGCTATGGAGCCATTGCATGTTTTTATGGTATATGTTCTATTTGTGTGTGTTGATTGTTTGGTGGAGCACTAAGTTTTGGTCTTATAGTTTTGGATTATGTTTCAGGTACCTTAGAGGATCGCGGGAAGGTGAAGGCGTGATCGTGTACCTCCTCCTGTTTGGCTTTGTGATTTTGGACAAACTCTGATAATAGACATGTTTTGAAAACTATTTTGTAAACAATGATGATTTTTGGGTTGTTTAAAAAGTTTAAAATTTTCATGAATTTTATGGATGTTACAAGTTCGTATCAGAGCATTGGTTTTAGTGAATTGGAGGAACACTCGTGTGAATCCAGTCTCAAACTAAGGAAATGGATTTTTAAAAATGATTTTTCAAATGATTTTCAAAATAATCAAGGAGGATATGATGTGTACGATCAGCCGGAGCTAGTAAGTAGACCCCAAAGTACCACACTGTTATTGATATTGTCATATGTTAGAACAGCATGCTAGTGAAAGGCTAGGGATCTTCAGGATTTTCATGATAGAATTTCCTTATCATATGATGCCTGATAGCCTAGGGTTCTTCATCAATGGAATTTACATCTTTACTGTAGTTGCTTAGTGTATGCATCATGGTTGTGCATAACTAAGATTCTATAGCCTGAGAACGTTTGGTTTGGCCTTATTTCCTGTTCTTGCCCAGCTGGCTAGAAGGTATGGTGCGCTTTGAACCTTCTAAGGATGGGAGCGAAGGATTGGTGGCGGCTTGCTACTAGTTCATTTTCTGCTGAGTAGAGAGTTGTTGTGTCTTGGGAGCAGTTCTATGAGATGTTCCTCTCTAGATATGTGTCACTGGTGGAGCGTCAGAGGTTGGACCTGGAGTACCTGAATGTGAGGCAGGGTCGGAGACGGTGACGGAGATCACCAAGATGTTCACAGAGAGGGATATGTTTTCTCCTGAGTTAGCTACATCTGAGCAGGCTCAGATGACCCATTACTTAAGCATGCTTAAGACGGAGATCAGACAGTTTGTTTCCACCCAGCTTTATGTTTCCTTGTTGGAGATGCAGGAGGCCACCTGACAGTGTGAGATTGAGATTGATTTGCAGACGAGGGAGCAAAGACCGGCCCAACGCAGTCGCAGCCTGCGCCAAAGCGGTTTAAGTCCACCAATGTCAGATTTGGGGGTCGGAGGGACCACACTTGTGGGAAGTGTGGCAAGGTTCATGAGGGTGCTTGTCGATCATCTTCTGGGTGCCACAATTATGGACAGCAGGGCCATATGGCGAGGGATTGCTGCTAGCAGGCCCAAGCACTAAGTTCTAGGATTTGTTATCATTGGTACCAGGTTGGCCATGTGAAGGCTAATTGTTCCTCTCTTTTTGCTAGGCCGACGCAGGCTCCAGCGCCGGCTACTTTGAGGATTGCTGATGGGAGTCAGGGTAGGGTGGAGCCCCCGAGGGCTCGAAGTCATGCTTTCCCGCTCACTACGGAGGAGACCAGA